CCCAAACGGAAACATTGAAAAATTGAGAAATGGAAAAATGGGAAAATCAAAAAAATTAGTCTAAAGAGTTTAGACAGTACTTCCCTCGCTATCGGAAACGTGACGACTGCATGCCTATTATGTTTTTTTTTCACATTAGATTTCAAAGCATTCGGTTTTGTAGTTCCTGATTAAATCAATAAAATAAATTTGCGCATTCATTAAATTTTTTGAGTCAGCCTGTATATCCGAATCCAAAAAATATGAATGGAATGATAAATTACAAGAAGAGACTCATCATATTTTGTAAATTTTAAATAGGATTATACGGCAAACTTTTGAGTTGACGTCATCAATTTTTTGGAGGGGATAAGCAAATATATTTGGACTAAAAATGTATTATGCTCTTTATAATCTTAAAACATTTGCAAGATTTCAAAGCATTGGGTTCTGTAGTTCCTGATTAAATCAATAAAATAAATTTACGCATTCATTATTTTTGGGGTCATCCTGTATATGAAAATTCAAAAAACATGAATGGAATGATAAATCACAAGAAGAGACTCATCATATTTTATACAATTTAGATAGGATTTATTCAGCAAAATTTTGAGGTGACGTCATCAATTTTTTAGAGGGGATAAGTAAATATACTGTGATTAAAACGGTCCTGGTTTAATAACAAAAAAATATTGTTCGTCTATAAAACAAGCTCGTCTTAGACAAAGTATTCGTAAAAAAATATGTCGTAAAAAAATTTACGTATGCTGGTGCCGACTGCGATTATGGTTTAAATATTTTTTAGAAAATCCTGTCGTGGATGTAGAAACATTTGTGACAGCCAAAGAGGTTTTTTTGAGAAAATTATCTTTGAATTTAAACCAAATCGAAAAAGACACTAGGCAACAGGCACATTTGGGCAAAAGAAAGAGAAATTAGGGTTACGGCTTCAAATTTTGGACGTATTTACAAACTTAGACCCACTACAGCAATAGCTAAAACTGTGGAATCTCTGTTGTACAGTACATTTAGAGGTAACAGTTATACATACTATGGACAGCAAAGTGAGGAAAAAGCTGTCAAGTGTTTTTAAATAAATAAAAATATAAAAACTGAACGGCGTGGCTTGTTTATTTCAAAACAATTTCCTTACTTGGCTGCTAGTCAAGACAGGGTTCTAGAGGATAGGAGTGCATTAGTCGAAATTAAATGCCCTTCAAAATCGCAAGATTTTTCTCCCGAAGAAGCGGTTAGAAAAAAAATAATCAAATTTTGTACATTGACAGACAGAGAATTGAAACTAAAAAAAAATCATGACTACTTTCAAGTCCAGGGACAAATGTGTTACGGGTATTTCACAAGTTTATTTTGTTGTGCGGACACCCAAAGGAATAAATATAGAAAAAATTTATAAAGACGAAGAAAAATATGTAAAAACTTGGCAGAGTTTACTTTGGCGCATTATTGCCCGAAATAATTGATTCAAGAAGAAAGAGGAACCTGGCTTTGCGAGAGATTTTTTTAAAATAAATAAAATTTGTTTCTATTTTTTTATTTACTTTAATAATTTATTAGGAGTACATTTTTCATCACCAAGACTTGCATATTTTTATTATAAATATATTTTGAAAATGATCTCTCGGCAAATGAAAACATATACGAGCACTTTTTTCGAATAATTCGAAAAATTTTGTACTTATATTAAGAATATCATGTAGATGGTAAAACGCTAACCAAAATTTGTCTAATCATCCGCACCACTAATGCGATGACGTCACTTCAAGATTGTACATAGTAAATGGGTTTTCAATTGTATAAAATAACATAGTCCTACACATGTAGTTTACAACTCTGAATCGACTTTTCACCCGAAACGTCCAGATTTTTGGAAAAAAAAATCAAAATTATAAAACAACATTTTGAAATTTAATTTTTAATCTGCTAACCAGAATGCTTTGAAATGTTGCAGATGTTTTAAGGCTATAAAGAGCATCATAAATCTTTAGTCAAAAAATATTTGCTTATCCCCTCCAAAAACTTGATGACGTCAGCTCAAAAGTTTGTGGAATAAATCATATCTAAAATGTACAAAATATGATGAGCCTGTACTTGTGATCTATAATTCCACTCATATTTTTTGGATTTGCATATACAGGGTGACTCAAAAAAATTAATGAATGCGCAAATATATTTTATTGATTTAATCAGGAACTACAAAACCGAATGCTCTGAAATCTTGCAGATGTTTTAAGGTCATAAAGAGCATAATAAATGTTTAGTCAAAATATATTTGCTTATCCCCTCCAAAAACTTGATGACGTCAGCTCGAAAGTTTGCCGAATAAATCATATCTAAAATGTACAAAATATGATCAGTCTGTACTTGTGATCTATCACTCCATTCATATTTTTTGGATTTGCTTATACAGGGTGATTCAAGAAAATAAATGAAAGCGTAAATTTATTTTACTGATTTACTCAGGAACTACAAAACCGAATGCTTCGAAATCTTGAAGAATTTTAAAATTATCATAAGCATGGTAAATTTTTGATCAAAATGTATTTGGTCGTCCCCCCTAAAAAATTTATGACGTCACCACAAAATTTTGCTGAATAAATCCTATCTAAAATGTACAAAATATGGTGAGTCTCTTCTTGTGATTTATCATTCTATTCAAATTTTTTCGATTTGCATATACAGGGTGACTCAAAAAAATTAATGAATGCGTAAATTTATTTTATTGATTTAATCAGGAACTACAAAACCGAATGCTTTGAAATCTTGGGAATATTTTAAAGTTATTATAAGCATGGTAAACTTTTGTTCAAAATGTATTTGTTCATCCCTCCTAAAAAAATTGATGACGTCACCCTTAAATTTTGCTGAATAAATCCTATCTAAAATGCAAAAAATATGATGAGTTTGTACTTGTGATTTATCATTCCATTCATATTTTTTAGATTTTCTTAAGAGGTGGTTCAAAAAAATTAATGAAGTCAATTTATTTTATTGATTAAATTAAAGGCAACACTTATTATTAGTATTACACCTTAACAAACCCAATTTGGTAGACACAAAATTTGTTAAAGGAAAAACTCGGTTGAAACATAAGGGTAGCACGCTTATTTACATCGACTTTAACATTACAGACCTGCATTTGTTTTATGCGCTCACTTGATTCCGCGAATGTGAAATAGACATGTTTATAATCAACCAATTGTGAATTTCACCGTCAAGAATTAAAATAAAACCCAATGTTTTATATAATAAGCGGAAGTCGAAGCAATAAAACCGATGGTCGTTTTGTTTACAGTTTCTCTGTTTGACTCTCAGTATGCTGTTACGCTTGTCATCGTAAATTAAGAATGTTTATACATAAACGATGTTCAGTTGCCGTATACGTGAGTAAATCGTTTCGTTATTTTATTGATTATAAAAAATCAATATTCAAAACGACCCAATTCATTTTCCCGAAAATTTGAGAATATAATAATTTTATTCTTAGTATTACACTACATCTATCCCAACTGATATACGTGTCCTTGCAAAAATGTTGATGACGTCATCGCAATTTTTTTTTAAATTCCCACTACAAAAATGTAATGAGAAAAAAAAACACAATAGGCATGCTGTCGTCAAGTTTCCCACAGCGAGGGAAGTACTGTTTAAACTCTTTAGACCAATTTTTTATTATTATTATAAATATGTTTATTAGTTATATTAACTAAGAAAGCATAATATATATTAACAATAATATTACAATGAATTTTTAGTAATCATGTGTATTGAATTCAGGATCCTGAGTGGAGTAAAAATATTATAGTTCCCCAGTTTTAATTCGGTTTTATGATAGTACCTCATTGCGTAAAAGTTAATTTTCTTAACAATAGATTACTACGGCCGGTCCTGGCGGCTTGTTATAAAGCTGAGTTCCTTGCCATAAATTAGAAAAATCAGTCGAGATCTCTAACAATCAGCTTATGGTAAAGCAGGCGATAAGGGTTTTACCTGAAAATCGCTTCCGTAAATTTTAGTGGCGCTTCTATCGACAAAGTACTGAACTAACTGCTCAAATTCTGTCGAATTGATACCCATTTTTTTCAATAACTGTTAGTTTTGGTTAAAAACTCTGCTAACCAATAGATCATTAATTTTCCTCTGATATTCCTGTTAAAATTATTCGACGTATTTTGCATTAATTTGTGGTATATTTTGATTTTAATAAACACATTATTATTTAAACAAATTGTACCACTAACAAACATTTAATGATTCTGCGCCCTGTAAAAAGTGATGTTTTATCCATGTGCGAATTTTCAAGCGATTCTATGATGGTTATGACTCAAAAAACTTGAAAAGAAAACATAAAATGGTGCTTTTTTACGATATTTCTCAGCCATATTTTTTTAGTTGATTGAACTGGTCTCTGCGCCCTAGAATATGAAAAAAGCTGCAGTTTGATATAGACACATTTATATTAATATCATTTTTTCATACAAAAACCCAAAAAAATGTTATATAGTGAACCAAGAATTATAAGGTTATATGACCATCATAAAAGTAGTTGACCGCAAATAAATACCCCCTTTGTGTGGTTCGCACTAAGCTTACCGGTTGGCAATAAATCATCTTCTAAACATTTCTTGCTCATATTTAACAGGGCCGGCTTTCAAAGCGAGTGGTTATTTCGGAACCCTCAGCGGCTGCAGGTAGTAAAGAAATAGTGGAGTGGTGGATTTTCATATTTAGTGAAAGCCGTCCCTGAACGAAACCACAAGAGCCGGTCGAGCTGCAGTGGACACGTTATTTACGACCCTAAAACCTTTTCTATTGTAAACAACTTAACTTCGACACAATGGGATGATTTTATGATGGCCATATAACCTTACAGCTCTTGGTTCACTATACCTCGTCTAGCCAATCTCCTTAATTGCAAACATCCAATTTTGAATTTCCCGCCTCCAAATGACGGACTATAATAAGTGGTATATTGATTTTTACACAGATGTCAGTCGTGTCGCACTTCCGCGCAAAGGATTGTGGGAGTCCAACATCATTGCGGTGCCGTGTGATAGTTTCTGATCATATTCACTCCATTTAATCATCGGAAAACGTTTTTAAGAATGTCGTTCCTCTCAGCTCGTCTAGCTACTACGGTGGCAAGACGTCTGCCAAACAATGTTGCACAGGTAAAACATTTCATTAACTTCAAAAGTGAATTTTTACGTAACACGTCCATAGATTCGTCCCCCTATCATGCCGAAAAATAATATAAAATCCACCACTTTTGTCCATGTTGAAGTATTTTTACCCTATTATACAAATAATTATTATAACGATGCCAAACGATCTTTTAAACACATTTTTTCGCAATTTGAACCCATAGGCGTGTTATGTAATCACAGCAAGTAGGTCTTTTTATTCCAAAGTGACCAATTTTCATCGGAATATTACGTCTTTATGGTCTACAAAGAATACATTTTTTAATCTTAGGTTGCTGGAGTTGCCTTCCCCGCCACATCGGTAGCTGCCCGAAAACTTCACGTTACTGCAAACAATCGCGGTGCTGAAATTTCCTCCATTCTAGAGGAGCGCATCCTAGGAGCCGCCCCTAAAGCTGATCTTGATGAAACCGGCCGCGTACTCAGTATTGGTGATGGTATTGCTCGTGTTTACGGTCTCAAAAACATTCAAGCAGATGAGATGGTTGAATTCTCTTCTGGGCTTAAGGTTTGTGCTTTTGATCCATTTTATATTTAAAATGTCTATAAGACGCATTGTCTCACTTCAGGGTATGGCTTTGAACTTGGAACCCGACAACGTTGGTGTCGTAGTCTTTGGTAATGACAAGCTTATCAAGGAAGGAGACATTGTCAAACGTACAGGAGCCATTGTAGATGTCCCTGTAGGTGACGAAATTTTGGGACGTGTCGTAGATGCGTTAGGTATTTAAGATAACTTTATTTTAAATCCAGTTTGTTGATTTATTTTCTTGTAGGCAATGCCATTGATGGCAAAGGCCCCATCAACACCAAACAACGTTTCCGAGTGGGAATTAAGGCACCTGGTATCATCCCTCGTATTTCTGTGAGGGAACCTATGCAGACAGGCATCAAGGCCGTAGACTCTCTTGTACCCATTGGGCGTGGTCAGCGTGAATTGATCATTGGCGATCGTCAGACTGGGTTAGCATTGGTGTCTTAATATGATTTAATTGTATTAATTTGAAATAATAACAGCAAAACTGCACTTGCAATTGATACCATCATCAACCAGAAGCGATTTAACGACGCCGACGATGAGAAAAAGAAGCTGTATTGTATTTACGTCGCTATTGGCCAGAAGAGGTCAACTGTTGCCCAGATTTTGAAAAGATTAACTGACACTGGGGCTATTAATTATACCATCATTGTGTCCGCCACTGCTTCAGATGCTGCCCCATTACAGTATCTCGCTCCTTACTCTGGCTGTGCCATGGGTGAATACTTCAGAGATAATGGGAAACACGCTCTTATCATTTACGACGATTTGTCCAAACAGGCTGTTGCCTATCGTCAGGTAAATTCCGTTTCATTTTGGGAATTGTTAGTTTTTAATAAGTAAAATTTTGCTGTTGTCAGATGTCTCTGCTGCTGCGACGTCCCCCAGGTCGTGAAGCTTACCCAGGAGACGTCTTCTACTTGCACTCTCGTCTTCTCGAGCGTGCCGCCAAGATGTCAGATGCTCACGGAGGTGGATCTTTGACCGCCTTGCCTGTCATTGAGACGCAAGCTGGTGACGTATCCGCGTACATTCCTACCAACGTCATCTCCATTACTGACGGACAGATCTTCTTGGAGACTGAATTGTTCTACAAAGGTATTCGTCCCGCCATCAACGTCGGTCTGTCGGTATCCCGTGTAGGTTCAGCCGCCCAAACTAAAGCCATGAAACAAGTCGCCGGCTCCATGAAGTTGGAATTGGCCCAATACCGAGAAGTCGCAGCTTTTGCCCAGTTTGGTTCAGACTTGGACGCTGCCACTCAACAACTTTTGAATCGCGGTGTGCGATTGACTGAATTATTAAAACAAGGACAGTATGTACCAATGGCTATTGAAGAGCAAGTAGCTGTTATTTATTGTGGTGTAAGAGGACATCTTGATAAGTTGGATCCTTCAAAGATCACCGTGTTTGAAAAGGAATTCTCTCAACACGTTAAGTAAGTTTTTGGTTAAAGTTAACAAGAAAATAATAGTAATTGTGGGCTCTTTTTGCAGGACAAACCACCAAGCTGTTTTACAGAGTATCGCTAAGGAGGGTAAAATCACAGACGAAACAGATGCCCAGTTAAAGAAAATCGTAGCTGATTTTATTTCAACATTCTCTGGTTAAATTAATGTAAATTAAAATCATTTATTTTTAGTTGATCAAATTCATAAGTTCAGCTAAAAGTAAGATGGTTTGATTTAGAATAGGTTTCACAAGTTATTGTGGAAAACGTGTACAATAGAACATTTGAAATTTTTAAGATGTGAAACAGCATTTTGTTTTTGTTATCAGCCTCGTCACAATAAAATGTGTAATAATTTTAGTCGCGAGTTTTTATATTAAACCATTTATTGTTTTTATGTATATATTACTTACATTTTGAGCAAAGTACTGGCACTGGGTATTTGGACAACTCTCCAGCTTTATAAATAGAAAGTCCTATAATCGTGGTCAACACCATTAATCACTAAAGAGATATTAAATTTAAAAATGGTGAATTTTAACTGCGGGATTGGTAACGGTCAATGTTGCTAGACTGGGGAATTTTACCCCAAATTTGTTTTGGGGAAAATTTGGGGACTATAAAATTGTTTTGGATATATTTGTTGGAGACAAAAATTAAAAATTTAAATTAAATTGACACTTGAAAGTTTAAAAGGCCCGCGAAAAATTCAAAATTTGGCCTTGGTTGTGATCGCCTGACAAAATGGAACCCAACGTTGTGTTTTTGAAAAATGGCGGGATTCGTTCAGATGCAAATGGTGGACCCAAACTTGCCTAACTTTGAATGAAATCATATTAAACGTTGTGAATCAATGCAAATATTTGAATATCACAAATTTAATAAAAACAAAGAACACTGAATTAAAATAAATTGATGCAAATACACAAGTTATTACAGACGTGTGGTGGCAAATTTAAAATTATGGCAGTTAACAAGAGCACAATAAAAATAGCCATAGAGGCGTTCTAGCACAAGCGGAGTTTAGGGCTTCTGGTTGTGGCTGTTCTCCTATCCACGACGGTCTGCTGTACGAAAGTACGAGCAGACCCTTACGGTCGCAAATTCGCGGTTTGGACAGCGTCACGTCATCTCGACTAGCCCTGACTTCTATTTAAACCTGCGTCTTTTGTGCAGATGGCGCGATAAATCCCGCCAGCTCGACTAGGAAGCGCGCCCTCCGCTTCTGCCACGTTTTTGGGTGTTATTTAACCTCGATTCCATTTAAATGTTCAATTTCTATTACTCTGATATTAAACTACAACTGAACAAGTGGTAAAGTTTCAAAAAGAGCAATAAACAACATTTAAATTGGCCATACACTCTTGTGAAATTTGAAACAGTAAAGAATTCTTGTCTGAGATTAAGATTGGACAGCAGACAATTTTATGATAATAATAATAATAATAATAATAATAATACTTTATTTCCAACGGATTTACACCCAATAACAGGAAATTTATATATATTAAAATAACTGAAAAAAAAACCTATACGTGCGAATACAAAGAAAAATAACTTAAATATAATTCTTAGTCTATCAGCCGGTTTGAACTTAATTAATACTGTTGAAAAAAAGAAAAAGAAAAAAACAATAGATAAAATCAAATCAGATACTCCAGCACTCTAAGTTAACAACACAGCACAGAATCGACTGCAAAGTGTCAGAATTTATGTCACATAAATGGCAAATTCGATTAAACGTCCTACACATAATTGGAATTGGAGATTTAGCCATAACATTTGACTTTGGTGTACAGCAGTAGTATGTAAGAACATGGCACATATTTAATCTAGGTAAACAAAAAGTAATGTTGGCCAAAAGCCACGCACAGTCAACTTGATTATTTAAAAGTTTATACAAAAACTTGACTACTATAATGTTACGTCGTTTTGCTAATGATAAAAATTGAAATTTACTTAACAACAATTCATGATTACATTCCCTTTCTGGATATTGCCCGTCAGTCAAGAAGGACAAAAACTTAAGATAGGTTCTTTGTACGGATTCAAGTTGATGTATATATACCTTATAAATAGGATACCAAATTAAGACGCCATACTCTAACCTAGACCTAATTAGAGAAAAATATAATATGTGTTTAATGCAGTAACATTTTTAAAGTTTTTACAGTTCCGATAAATGAATCCGTACAGCTTAAACGATTTGGAAACAATTTCTTCTATATGAAAGTTAAATGTTAATTTGGAATCAAATAATATGCCCAAATCCTTAACTTTGCCAACTCGTTCCAGTATAGTACCATTTATAGAGTAGCTATGTATCAAAGGGGCAGATTTCCTGGTATAGGTAACTATATAACACTTTCGTTTATTAAATTTTAATCTATTGTTGTCACTCCATGTTGTAAGGGAATCTAAATCAAGCTGTAATTTGTTACAGTCCTCCTGACTATTAATCTGACAAAATATTTTTAAATCATCTGCGAATAAAAGCTTATTTGTTGTTATGACTTCCGTGATGTCGTTTATGAATAATAAAAATAGCAGTGGACCTAGGTTCGATCCCTGCGGAACACCCGATATGGCAATGTAATGACTGGAAAAAAAATTTTGATATTTAACACGTTGTTTTCGATTTCGCAAATATGATTGGAATAACAGAAGAAGATTGTTTGAAAAACCAAGAAGATCTAGCTTTTTAATCAGTAAGTGGTGGTCAATTTGGTCGAAAGCTTTATGAAAATCCATATAGATAACATCCAATTGACCATGGTTGTCAATAGCACAAGCTGCGACTTGACTGATACATGCCAAATTGGACACAGTGGACCTATGTTCAATAAAGCCATGTTGATGATCTGAAATTAGGTGTTTTATGCAAGGGTAAATACTTTTGTATAGGACTGTTTCGAATATTTTTGCAAAATTGCATATAAGGGAAATAGGACGATAGTTCTCTATTTCAGTAGGATCCCCTTTTTTTAGAACCGGGCAAACACAAGCCATTTTCCACATTTCTGGAAATGTAGAAGTTGTCAGAATCAAATTAAATAATTTAAACAAGGGTTTTACAAATACAATAGCACAGTCCTTAAGTAAAAAACTAGGAATACCGTCAGCTCCTTGCGTGAAGGAATTCTTACTTTGCTTTAACACCTTTAAGATTAGATCTTCTGATACATTAGTGATTGAAATCAAAGAATTATTTGAAAGAATACTATTCAAAGTGGAGTTATCATAAGCCGGGGTGGAAAAAACGTTCTCAAAATAACTCGCAAAAGCATTGACTATAGTTATTGGAGCAGTAAGTTCTTGGTCTTCGTAGTGCATTAAACTTGGAATACGTGTTACCCCTTTCTTCATGTGGACATATGACCAAAATTTTTTTGGATCTTTAGAAATGGAATACTCTATATCGGACATATACCTTTTGTAGGCTTCCGCAATTCGACTTTTACAACGTGAACGGCAATCTTTAAATAAATTATAATAATACGACGATATGAATTTTTTATACTTTTTGTGCAAAGCGAACTTCATACGAATACATTGAATAATTTCTTTATTATACCATGGAGGATAGTTGTAGTGGTAGATGATGGAAGCATTAATCAATAAAATATTTACGAACAAAAAACTAGCAAAGATTTATAAAAACAAAAAGATCTGATGTGAAGTAAAACTTGTACAGACAAAAAAAAATACGTGAGGTTAGAAACTGCACAGCATGAAAATTTACGTTTAATTTAAATTATACAGCAAAGAAAATTACTGACGCCAAAATTGCATGAGGTGAAAAATTGCAAAGCTCAAAAAATTATATGAGTTTAATATTTTATGTCCATTCGATCTATTGCTTAATTTTTAAAAGTGAAGTTATTTAGCTGCATTGTGGGCCATCGTTTTACATTTCCTCAAACATGCACAAAAACATAACAGACAATCTGGAGGTTCAAAATGTGGTCAAACAAATGCGTCGTTCCAAAAAAATATGCGTCAAAAATATGTCTCCCAGAAATGTGATCAATCCTTGGGCTACATACGTGCAAATAATGGTCTAAATCAAAGGAATAAAACGCACGTCCCACATGACCCACAATTTATTTGATGTTAAATTATACCACACTTTATCAATAATTCAAACAAAGAATTTACATTATGTTAAATTATGCCACACTTTATCAAGATGCGACGAAATTCTGGTGTGATGGACGGTGACGGTCCGGAATCTCGCCGATAACGTGTTATTTGATGTTAAATTATGCCACACTTTATCAACAATTCAAACAAAGAATTTACATTATGTTAAATTATGCCACACTTTATCAAGATGCGACGAAATTCTGGTGTGATGGACGGTGACGGTCCGGAATCTCGCCGATAACGTGTGGTGGCGGTGTACTTGGATGCCAAGCTTTGGGCCGACTGGTGTCGCTGATTTAAAACACGGTCGCTCAGGAGAGGGAACGCCAGGGTTGCTCTCAAGCCGGAGACACGGATCTCAGGTGGTGAGCACCCGCGAAAACACGAGAATAAAAATAAAACGGAACCCAAGACGGTACTTACGGTGGTTTCAGGACTTCTCCAAAAACTCAAACTGCGCCTTGGCCAACTTTTTCTTAAAAACGGCCACAACACTTCTACACCCTTCAAGGCTTCCGCCAAGAATCCTCTTCCGGCGCGGCGATCGCGGATTTACCCCCGGCTCTCGCGGTACGCGTCACGGTTTCCGGCCCGCGAAAATTCGCTTCGTTACAAACGGTTCAAATAAAGAATTTGTATTATGTTAAATGATGTCTTGAGCCAAGTGACTGATTACTTAAAATCATTAGCTTTGAGAGTTTATATCGTGAACTGTTCCCAACTTCTTCTAAACAAAACGCATGATAAAATAAATAAACAACACAAAATGGTTCCGGCGTAGTGAGAAAATATCTTGGTGATGCGATGATGATATGATGATAATAACGATGATAACTGCCTAAAGGGAAGAATTTCAAATCCAAAGAATGGGATAACGTTAGGTTAATTTTAACTGCCGTAAATGAACTATTAGCAATCTTGTGTGAGGAATTAAGAAGCGCTATTATGTAGTATCCAGAAACTTATTCATAATTCGGTAAACCAAGAAGGAGTCTTGACTAAGTGAATTTTATGAAACCTCCTAGCAAGTGCTTATTTAATCAAATTCCTGATTGTTAAATTGTGTTAGAACTAGTTAACGATTAAACTCCTAACATGAACTGTGAATTTACAAACAATAAAACAAATTTACACACGTGTTGGCAAGAATAATTTACGCGCGTTGGGCAGACTGTATCATCGTCGTCGTTGCGATTAATTGTCGAAAATTAAGGATTTCTCCCTTTTATTAACTACCAAACCAACTCAACTTAACCTAGTTAACGCACCGCGTCTTTTCACCATGCTTTCACTCACAAAACCAAAACAACAGTGAAGAATCACAACCCTCTAGCAACCCAGCACACCTAGCTACCAACCCCCTAACTAAAATTTCCTAGCAAAACTACGAACTACCAGAAAAAGAACTAAACGTGCACCAGGTTGCCTATGTTTAACGATGTTCTTGATTGTTTTCTTTTTCAAATTCAAATTTATTCAAATGCGATTTCGCGCTGCTGTTAATTTTTTTTCAGCTCAAAATTTTAATTTAAATTCGGTCATCACAACGTAAATATTATACTGATTAATGTCTCCATCATATAAATTGTCTGATGTTCAATCGTAATTTCAAATAAGAATTCTTTGTTGTTTAAAATTTCACGAGAGTGTATGGAGAATTTAAATGTTGTTTATTGCTCTTTTTGAAACTTTAACACTTGTTCAGTTGTAGTTTAATGTCAGAGTGACATAAATTGAACATTTAAATGGAACCGAGGTAAATAACACAAACACGTGGCATAAGCGGGGCGCGCGGTTCCTAGTCGAGCTGGCGGAATTTATCGCGCCATATGCCGAAAAGACGTAGATTTAGAATAGAAGTCAGGGGAGCGGTCGGAATGACATGACGTTGTCAGCTTATTTATAGTCGTGATTTCCAACCACGAGTTTGCGACCGTAACAGCCTGTTAGCGCTGCACGTTTCTTCGTCAGATAGTTGGTCGCAGCTTTTTTTTTTCTTTTTTTTTGCCATGAAAACTTTTTTTATTAATAAATCGAAGGTGGCTCGCCCTAAATTTTTCGCTATCATTTTATCGTCGTACGGCAGAGGACGATTTTTTATTAAATATTCAACTGAATTCATTATTTTTATTTAATATCAAATAATTTTACTCACCCAGAACTGCTGAAACAGGGTGCTTACTGCTTATTCTAAACATTATTTCGACTTGAAATAAATTTGGACTTGGTCGAAATGCAACAAATTGGGGTGATTGGTATTGAATTTATCTTGAACCACGATAATTACGTCATTACTCATTATATTTTGTAAAGTATATACTATAAATTATTATTATATTGTCTGATTGTGAATACATTTAAATTTAACTTTATTCACAAACGATCAGTAATGCGATTACATACTTCACTTCAATCTCAAGAGATGGAAATAACTGTCACTTTCCACCCAAAAGATGTACATTAGAGTTTTTAAAGTTTCATAATATCAAGTCAAATTAAAACTTATCAAGATTATTAAATAAGAGTAATTATTATTTAATTTTTTATTATCAGGTAGGTTTAATGTAATGTTAGTTGCATACTTCCAATACATTGAAGTGTTTTTTTTTCGGGTTGAAGATAGGGACTTTATGGTGTATGTTCAGAGTCGATTCAGAGTTAAAAAAAATGTGTCCGTATATCATTTATATACTTTAACTTTATAACTGTTCCCTGATGTGGCCACTCTTTGGTCAAAATTCCGCTACGTCTGGCAACATTGGTGTCTAGCTGTCAAAGTTCTAGTTGGTTCTAGTGACATTTTATTTTATTCAGTGACAGAACAGTCAATTTTGAATTTAGGTTATTTGTTGTCGGTTGTTTGAATAAGTGGGTCGGGTAAATTTGATGGTTTATGGTTTATTATTATCGATACGTTTATTCATGATGGTTTATCTGAATCCCCTTTTATTCAAGTAGCATAGAGGTGTTAGTAGAGCCATTTTTATAATAGGCAATTAATATTTACACACCGTTATAAAGATTGTTTTTCGATATGCCCTTGCAAACAGCGTATTATCCCGATTATTTCGCTGTTGATGACATTCTGGCGACTCAAGATCGAATTCCGTGTACATTTTTACAAGATGCAGTAAAATTAGGTGATTAACCCACCCATTTTACACTTCTCAATTTAACTTTAATGTGATTTTCAGGGAAATTAAACCCAGCTGAAGAACAAGCTGATTTGAAAGCTGGTACAAACATCGAGTTACCTCTGTGGCTAGTTGCTGACATTACAACAACCCGACAACCTGTAGTAGCTCCATCATTACCAAAAATGTACAAGGAAGGAAATCGCGAGATTTTAAAAGCTGACCCTTGTGCAGTAGATTTGCATAAATTAAGTACACATTTCTATGAACTGGGACTTTACGTCAAACAATTTGACCCAAGAGAAAGTGTTGCAGAAATATTGCTTCAAGTATTATGCACTAATAAAAATAATGTTGGTTGTATTATTATAGTTGTTGCAGACTTTTACTTTACGACTAAGGTTCGTTATGGACTTGTCAGACAATACTGTATCAAACCCTTCTGTGATGCAGAAGTTGGACAGATTAGAAAGGAGTGTCTTTAAAAGTGGCCACGACGCTAAAATGAAGTTAGTCTCATGGTTAAAAGTGTCTGAAATGCCCCTAGAGGCAGCGAGTATGGTTGTTAATCATAAAAAACGAAAAAGAGTAGATGATGATCTTTTCTAAATGTTAATATTGTTAAAAATTATGACGAAATAAATTTCTAAGTTTTTTATTGATACAAAGTAACAATATTGCCACCTCCAGCCTGTGTAATTTTATGAATAGAAATAACGTCAAGTTTGCATTGAAATGGCATCAATTTAGTGTGTTCTCAACTTGGTCATTGCAGGATTGAATTAGCCACACTTTAATATCAAAATTTGCCACAGACAATATTTTTAACAAATAAGCATAACAAAAAATATACAAACACCTATTACAAAATCTATGTATATAAAACAATGGGTCCTAACAGAAACGGTAACAAAAACAAATTTATACATGCCCACCATAATTGTAAAAAATACAGACTAAATAAAAAAACAAAATAGGTTCAATTACCCTTACAAACATCGAGTTCGTACTCGATGACAACCATATAACCAATAAAAAAAAAAAATTAAAAATATAATTAAATCTTCCATCTGATTAATTTAAATATTAAATCACCAGTGGAAGAATACCCTACAATATTACATCTTAATGGTTTACCATATTTGTATATTTTAAATAATACATAAGAAGCTGTCAGTAACTTATTAGCAACAGAATTCGTTTAAATCTTTGCTTTCAATTAAGGTTCATTACACACTTACTAAATTGTACTAAATCGTTACAGCAAAGACCGTTTTGTTGCTAATAAGACATCTGTACTTTATATAATGAAAATAAATCTATTACATTAAGATAAATATAATTTGTTCCTTAAAAATTGAGCAAATATGTCTTTGTTTTGAAATATCAGTATTTTCATTATGACTATGATTAATTGGCAAGTAATAAAAAATATGAAAAACCCATCACTTAGACGTGGTTTCTATAATTTACTTCACAGCCTCTTTATAAGCATTTCTTTAATCAGCTTTTAGGCACTATTTGTTGTTTTCAAAGCGTACAACTTATGGAAGACTATGCATCACACTTATTAGAAGCAACGGTGTGATGACTAATAAATATTTTCCAAGTTAAAATTACCCTGTAAATACTTTTCACACTTAAATATGAAAGTGTTTGTTAAAATGTGTGTTGCTCCACTTCTTGGATGGGTTCTTGTTTGAACGCCATGTACGAACTTTCTTCTATTGGGGTGATGTCTCTCATTATGAGGACGTTGGGTGTGTTCTGCGGACTCGCTATGTTTCCGTTTATGAGATGGTCCGTTGGGCTGCTACATTGCGTGGTTGTTGGTGAAGTGACAGGGCTGTCGGTGGAGTCGCTAGTGCTTTGATAACTGCTGACGTTGCTGTTGGCGGCTGCCATCATGGTGGGGTTTGTATCAATACTAGCACCTAAAACCGATTCTACATTTTACTTAGTTGAATTCAAAGTTTAAATGTTAATGAAACAGAAATAAATTTGAGTAAATTTAGTGTTAAATTAAGAGATATTTGGGTTTTAAATTTAGGAATCGTCAAAACAGGCAAGAATTGTCAAAATCTAATTGTCCCGAATTTACAATTTTAATTGTTTTCGATTTGCAATTTTGTGTTTTGGTTTTTATTTTCTTTATTTTTTTCAATTATTCGATTTTTCAGTGTCTCGATTTGTAATTTTTGGTTTTTTCAATTTTTCTTATTTTTTCCTATTTCTTTTGCAATTCCTCGATTAAAAATTGTCCCTCTTCAAATTTTCATTTCTTCAAATTTTCGATTTTTCAGTGTTCTGATTTAATAATTTTTTCAATGCGAGATTTTTCAGTTTTTTGATTTTTCAATGTATCGATCTGCAATTTTTCGAATTTTTAACTCTTGGATTATTGAATGATTAATTTTTTCACATTAAAATTTTTCCAGTTTCATGTTCTTCAATTTTTTGATTCTTTTATTTTTCACTTCGTCGAATTTTCGATTTGTAATTTTTTAATTTTCCAATTTTTCGTTATTTTTTCTATTTTTCAGTGTTTCATTGTCTAATTTTTCTTTTTTCAGTTTTTGGATTTTTCAATTTTTCGATGTGCAACTTTTCGATTTTTTCAATTTTAGATTTTTCCAGTGTCATGTTCTTTCAATGTTTCGATTTTTCACTTTTTGTTTTTTTAATTTTTCATTTTTCTTATTTCTTCAATTTTTAGGTTTTGCAATTTTTCGAGTTTTCAATTTTAAATTTTTCATGTTTTATTTTTCCAATGATTCCATTTTTCAATATTTCGATTTATAATTTTTTGTTAATTTTTCTTGTTTCTTCAATTTTTAGACGTTGCAATTCTTCGATTTAAAATTTTCCGAGTTTTCAATTTTTCAGTTTTTAAATGTCCTGATTCTATAATTTTTCTTTTTTCACTGTGAAAATTTTTGAATTTTTCATTTTTCAGTTTTAGATTTTTCCAGTTTTTTTTTTTGTTTCTTCAATTTTCGATTTGCAGTTTTTCGAGTTTTCAAGTTTAAATCTTTCAGTTTTTCAATTTTCCAACTTTTGACTTTTTCGTATTTAGTTTCCCAAGTTTTCAATTTTAATTTTTTCTTTACTTTTTCAATTATTCGATTTTTCAATGTTTCCACTTGTTAACTTTTTGAATTTTCAATTTTTCATTTTTCTTATTTCTTCAATTTTTAGATTTTGGAATTCTTCGATTTAAAATTTCTCGAGTTTTCATTTTTTAATTTTTCAATTTTTCGATTCTTTAATTTCTCTTTTCTTCAAATTTCCGATTTATAATTTTTCGTTTCTAATTTTTATTTTGCTTTATTTTTTCAATTTCTCGGTTCTTCAATGTTCTGATTTAATAATTTTTCTTTTTTAAATGTAAAATTTTTCAATTTTTCGATCTACAATTTTTGATTTTTCAACTCTCAGATTTTTGATTTTGTATTTTTTTAATTTTAGATTTTTCTAGTTTCATATTTTGGATTTTTCGCTTTGCAATTTTTTAGTTTTTATTTTTTTTTGAGTTTTCAAGTTTAAAATTTTCAGTTCTTCAATTTTCCAACTTCTGAATTTTTCAAATTTTAGATTATGTAATTTTTCGTTTTGATTTTTATTTTCTTTATTTATTCAATTATTCGATTTTTCAATTTTTCGATTCTCTAATTTTTCATTTCGTCAAATTTTTGATTTGTAATTTTTCGTTTCGGTTTTTTATTTTCTTAATTTTCCAATTTTTAATTTTTTGGATTTTTCAATTTTTCGATCTGCAATTTTTCAACCATTTGATTTTTGAATTTATCATTTTTTCAATTTTAGATTTTTCCAGATTTTCTTTTTTTTGTTTCGTCATATTTTCGATTTGCAATTTATCGAGTTTTAAAGTTTAAATCTTTCAGTTTTTCTATTTTCCAACTTTTGAATTTATCATTTTTTGAATTGTAGATTTTTCCAGTTTCATGTTTTTCCAATTTTCAGTTTCTTCAATTTTTCAGTTTGCAATTTTGGTTTTTTTGTTTCTTCATATTTTCGATTTGCGATTTTTCAATTTTTCGATCCTTTATTTTCTTTATTTTTCAAATTTTCGGTTCTTCAATGTTCTGATTTTACAATTTTTCGTTTTTCAATGCGAATTTTTTCGATTTTTCAATTTTTCCAGTTTCATATTCTTTCAATTTTCAGTTTGCAATTTTACAGTTTTTTTTTCTTTCTTTACATTTTAGATTTGCAATTTTTGGAGTTTTCAAGTTAAAAATTTTCAGTTTTTCAATTTTCCAACTTCTGAATTTTTCAATTTTTAGATTTTGCAAATTTTCGTATGAGTGTCTTAAGTTTTTAATTTTAATTTTTTCTTTAGTCTATCAATTATTCGATTTTTCAATGTTTTGATTTGCAACTTTTTGTTTTTTCAATTCTTCAGTTTTCTTATTTCTTCAATTTTTAGATTTTGCAATTCTTCGATTTCAAATTTCTCGAGTTTTCAATTTTTAATTTTTCAATTTTTCGATTCTTTATTTGCTTTATTTTTTCAATTTTTCGGTTCTTCAATGTTCTGATTTTATAATTTTTCTTTTTCAATGCGAAAATGTTCAGTTTTTGGATTTTTCGATTTTTTCACCATTTGATTTTTGAATTTATCACTTCTTCAATTTTATATTTTTCCAGTTCCATGTTTTTTAAATTTTCAGTTTCTTCAATTTTTCGGTTTGCAATTTCCCGGTTTTTTTTTTTTGTTTCTTTATATTTTCGATTTGCAATTTTTCGAGTTTTCAAGCTTAAAATTTTCAGTTCTTCAAATTTTCTAACTTTTGAATTTTTCAATTTTTAGATTATGTAATTTTTCGTTTTATTTTTTTTATTTTTTTATTTATTCAATTATTCGATTCTTTAATTTTTCATTTCGTCAAATTTCCGATTTTTAATTTTTCGTTTCGGTTTTTTAATTTCTTAATTTTCCAATTTTTCGGTATTTCAATGTCATGATTTTATAATTTTTCTTTTTTCAATGTGAAATTCTTGTTTTTGGATTTTTTCGATCTACAATTTTTCGATTTTTCAACCCTCAGACGTTTGAATTTTTCCTTTTTTCTAATTAAAATTTTTCTAGTTTCATGTTCTTTCAATTTTTTGTTTCTTCAATTTTTCGGTTTGTAATTAATCAGTTTTTAATTTTCTTTGTTTCTTCTCATTTTCGATTTGTAATTTTTCGAGTTTTGAAGTTCAAGTTTTTCAGATTTTCAATTTTTCAACTTACGAAATTTTTTTCAATTTTTATGTTTCCCGATTTTCAATTCCTCAATTTTCGATTTGCAATTTTCTGATTTTCCATTTTTTAGATTTTGCAATTCTTTGCTTTGCATTTTTTCCGATTTTTTAGTTTTTCGATTTGTAATTTTCCGATTTTTCTACTTTCCGATTTTTCAACTTTTCGAATCAAAAAAATTGAAAAATCGAAAAACCAAAAATGTAAAAACGAAAAAGTAATATAAAACGAAAACTTTTAAAGAACTAAAAATTGGAAGTCAAGAATTGGAAAAAATGAAGAAACAAAAAATTGAGGAACTTAAAGATCGAAAAAGTGCAAAATCAGAATCGAAAAATCAGAAACTTGGAAAATTCGGAGGTCGAGAATTTGAATAATTCAATAATAAAAAAAAAACAACAAAAAATAAAAAATTGTGACATTAGAAAATCGTAAAATCGAAGAAAAAGCAAAAACGAAAAATTATGTTTGGATTTTTTCGAGTTTTCAATTTAAATTTTTCATGTCTTCATTTTGCAATTTTTCGTTTTGTTTTTTGTTTTTCTTATTTCTTAAATTTTTAGACTTTGTAATTCTTCGATTTAAAATTCTCCGAGTTTTCAATTTTTCGCTGCTTTAATTTTTCATTTCGTCAAATCTTCAATTTGTAATTTTTCGTTTTGGTTAATTTTCCAAGTTTTCGTAATTTTTTCAATTTTTCAGTTTTTCAATGTCCTGATTCTATAATTTTTCTTTTTTCAATGTGAAAGTTTTCATTTTTTGGATTTTTCAACCATTTCATTTTTGAATTTATCATTTTTCAGTTTCAGATTTTTCCAGTTTCATGTTCCTTCAATTTTCAGTTTGCAATTTTCCAGTTTTTCTTTTTTGTTGTTTCTTCATATTTTCGAGTTTTCAAATTTAAATTTTTCAGTTTTTCAATTTTCCAACTTTTGAAATTTTTTTTTAGATTTTGCAATTTTTCATATTAAGTTTCCCAAGTTTTCAATTTTAATATTTCAAGTTTTTGATTTGCAATTTTTGTTTTTTTTTTATTTTTCAATAACTCGAATTTTCAATTTTTCATTTTTCTTATTTTTTCAATTTTCACATTTTGGAACTCTTCGATTCAAAATTTCTCGAATTTTCAATTTTTTCGGTTGGATTTTTTATTTTCTTTATTTTTTCAATTCTAGGTTTTTCCATGTTCTCATTTTATATGTATATTTTTTTAACGTGAACTTTTTCAGTTTTTGGATTTTTCAATCAGCAATTTTTGATTTTTCAACTATTAGATTTTTGATTTTGCATTTTTTCAATTTTAGATTTTTCCAGTTTCGATTTTTCGGTTTGCAATTTTTTAGTATAATTTTTTTTGTTTCTTCAAATTTACAATTTTTGCAGTTTTCAAGTTTAAATTTTTCAGTTTTTCAGTTTTCCAACTTCTGAATTTGTCAATTTTTAGATTATGTAATTTTTCGTTTTAGTTTTTTATTTTCTTTATATATTCAGTTATTCGAGTTTTGAACATTTTCATCTGTAATTTTTTGTTTTTTCAATTCCTCGATTTAAAATTTCCCGAGTTTTCTTTATTTTTTCAATTTTTCGGTATTTAAATGGCATGATTTTATAATTTTTTTTCTGTTTCGTCTGATTTTCTAATTGAAATTTTTCGGGTTTTGAAGTTTACATTTTTCAGATTTTCAATTTTCCAACTTACGAAAATTTTTATGTTTCTCGATTTTCAGTTCCTCAATCTTTGATTTGCAATTTTTTCCATTTTGTAATTCTTCGCTTATTCATTTTTTCCGATTTTCTAGTTTTTAGATTTTTCTAATTTTCGATTTTTCAACTTTTCGAATCAAAAAAATTGAAAAATCGAAAAATCAAAAATATAAAAACGAAAACTTACAAAGAACTAAAAATTGGAAGTCAAGAATTGAAAAAATTAAGAAACAAAAAATTGAAAAGTCGAAAGGTTAAAAATTTAGAAATTCAAAGATCGAAAAAGAGCAAAATAAAAAAAAAACAAACACCGTAAAATCAAAATACTGAAAATTAAAGAAATCAAAAAATCGGAAAACTGAGAAGTCCAAAAATTTTCGGAACTGAAAAATTTTAAAATAGGAAAATCGAGGAAATGAAAAATCAAAGATTAAAAATATGGAAAACTGAATAAACGAAAAATTGTGATATAAAATCGAGAAAATGAAAACTAAAAAACGTAAAAATGAAAAATAAAAATCAGAAACTTGAAAAATTGAGGAAACGAAAAACTGAAAAATCGAAAAATGAAAAATTGTAATCTCGAAAAATTGTAAATCGAAAAATTAAAAGAAACGAACATTTGGAAAATTCGGAAGTCGAGAATTTGAATGATTGAGTAATTAAAAAACAAATAAAAAAGCAAAAATTGTGATATTAGAAAATTGTAATATCGAAATTCATGTTCCTTCAATTTTCAGTTTGCAATTTTCCAGTTTTTTCTTTTTTGTTGTTTCTTCATATTTTCCAGTTGTCAAATTTAAATTTTTCAGTTTTTCAATTTTCCAACTTTTGAATTTTTTTTAGGTTTTGAAATTTTTCATATTGAGTTTCCCAAGTTTTCAATTTTAATATTTCAAATTTTCGATTTGCAATTTTTCGTTTTGGTTTTTTCTTTATTTTTCAATTACTCGATTTTTCAATTTTTCATTTTTCTTATTTTTTCAATTTTTAGATTTTGGAACTCTTCGATTCAAAATTTCTCGAGTTTTCAGTTTTTCGATTATTTAATTTCTCTTTTCTTCAAATTTCCGATTTGTAATTTTTCGTTTCGATTTTTTATTTTTTTTATTTTGTTCAATTTTTAGGTTCTTCCATGTTTTGATTTTATATATTTTTTTTAATGTGAAATTTTTCAGTTTTTGGATTTTTTTCAATTTTAGATTTTTCCAGTTTCGATTTTTTTGTTTCTTCGGATTTACAATTTTTCGAGTTTTCAAGTTTAAATTTTTCAGTTCTTCAGTTTTCCAACTTCTGAATTTTTCAAATTTTAGATCACGTAATTTTTCGTTTTAACTTTTTTTCCTTTATTTATTCAATTATTCGATTTTTCAATTTTTCATTTTTCTTATTTCATCAGTTTTTAGATTTTGCAATTCTTCGATTTAAAATTTCCCGATTTTTCAATTTTTCGTTGTGGTTTTTCATTTTCTTTATTTTTTCAATTTTTCGGTATTTCAATGTCATGATTTTATAATTTTTCTTTTCTCAATGTGAAATTCTTGAGTTTGTTTTCAGTTTTTTTCAATTTTAAATTTTTCTAGTTTCATGTTCTTTCAATTTTTCAGATTTTCAATTTTCCAACTTGTGAAATTTTTTTCAATTTTTATGTTTCTCGATTTTCAGTTCCTCAATCTTCGATTTTTAATTTTCCGATTGTTCTACTTTTCAATTTTTCAACTTTTCGAATTAAAAGACATCGAAAATTCAAAAATGTAAAAACGAAAACTTTTAAAGAACTAAAAATTGGAAGTCAAGAACTAAAAAAATGAAGAAACAAAAAATTGAAAAGTAAAAAGGTTACAAATTTTGAAACTTAAAGATCGAAAAAGTGCAAAATCAAAAAAAAAACAAAAATCGTAAAATCGAAGCACTGAAAATTAAGAAATTGAAAAATCGGTAAAGTCCAAAAATTTCGTAACGGAAAAATTTAAATATTAGAAAATCGAGAAAATGAAAAATCAATGATTTAAAATTTAAAAAACTGAATAAACGAAAAATTGTGATATAAAATCGAGAAAATGAAAACTAAAAAATCATGAAAATGAAAAATAAAAATCAAGAACTTGAAAAATTGAAAAATGAAAATTTCAAGTCGAAAAATTCAAGAAGCGTATAACTCGAAAATTTGGAAGTCGAGAAACTGAAAAATTGAAAAGAAATTAAAGTTGAAAGAATGAAAAATAATGAAACCGAAACACTGAAAAATGGAAAAATTAAATATTAAAAAAAATCACAAATCAAAAATTGTGATATCAAAAAATTCTAAAATCGAAGAAAAAGCAAAAACGAAAAATTATGATATCAAATAGTTGGTTGATGGTAAATAAATCCAGATTTTTAAAAAATTATAGGATTTGAATTGCCACTTTCACTGGTGTCTGTAAGGGTTCTCAAAAAAAAATAAATAAATAAAATAAAATTCGCATAATAAAATTTATAATTTTTCCAAAAAGCTGGATTTGTTTTATTGTATTTCAATCAATTAAACTGAAAATAAATATATATTTTTTGAGGAATGTTGTTGCTATTATACTTTGTCCAATGATCGATTAGACTATTTTGACCTTCAGGTGTCAACTAAAATGGTTAAATATTTTAATACAAAGCACATTACCGATCAAACTTTAAAACAAAGTCTTTCGTGCTAATAAAATTCAACTTTTAACATTGACACACGTCAAACTGAAGGTAATGACTAGTGATAATAGTTGAAAGTGACATTCACTTCCATCTCTTGGGTGGAAAGTGACAGATAAGTGGCATATGTCACTTTCCACCCTTTAATAGTAATATTAATTACTTAATAACTGAACTGCATCAACACGGTTATTATTACCTCCCAAGAGCATTTCCTGGAGCAAGCTATCAATATGGGCAACTCCAAACAATTTGGCGAATTGAATTTGTTCAATCATCTGCCATGTGATCGACTGGAGGGCCGGAAGCGTCAGCAGTAACTCCCCAAATCTACCTCTGCTATCATACTGCCTATCACTAATGTAATCTTCCAAATTGATTTGTATTTGGTAACGCAAAGCCTTAATGCGCGCTGGCTCACTCAATCCTTTAGCATCTGAAATTAAAACAAACGATAACATCAAAAACCATTGAATATAATTCCCTGACAGGTGATCAATATCAAGAAATAACGATAACCTTTTCATTAAATTTTCCGTTTTCTTGAGTTCAGTTATCTTTATTTGTTCAATTTATTTTTAAAATAATACTCGACAAACACTCGAGATTTAACTTCATTATCTGATTATGGTAGATACTTACTTGGATCAAAAAACACTATGGCCTTGAGGCAAGCGAATTCAGTGTCATCCACCTGAACTTCTGTCATGGGCTTTACCAGTTCGTCCATAATTCTGCTACCAACACGTGAGATGTCCAAATCTGGAGATACTCGCGAGTCTGTCAACATCACCACTGCATTGGACATTGTCCATTTAATTAAATGTGGCCTTCATGTTCGTACATTTATTTAAAACAGCTGTTTCAGAGTTAATACAAATCCTAAACATGCCACTCTAGTGGTAACTAAAGCGTCTTCGTAAGTCGCTAAGCATGCACTCGCTAAGTTTATTTGGCTTTATATAACTTTTACTAAGTTTATGCTAGGTGGATGTAACCATGCATGTTACACTACATAAACGGTTAGCTAATTCATTTCAAATTCACGTTATGGAATTTAGTTACCAAATAAATAACCCACAACATGCAAATGTCGATCTTACGGTGACAATGTTTAAATGTACGAACATGCTGAACCCCTCCTAGTATATATATTTTTTAAGATGAACGAAATCCCAATGATGATTAAACAACAATATAAACAGTCTAGTTACTTTTAGGGTTCAAATAGTATACAGAGCGTTAACGTGATAAAAACATAAGTTCTTGAAAGGTGTAATTTTATGTTTGTTCTTATTGTTAGGTACTTGTCGCTTATTGTGTAAGGTTTTCAAATTTTGGGTTATTGTTTCCTTGATAGCAGTTACTACAAGTTTTGTATCGAAGTATTTAAGTATTTTAATTAATGCAGACAATTCAAAATTGTGCAATCTATCGGTGCTCTTAATTTTTTACAATTCTATGTAAATGTTACAGTTGGTTATCGAAAGATGTCGCGTTCAATGCGCAGTCGCAATAAATTCAAACGTAAAATATTCTGATATAAAAGTTCTTTCGTATGGACTTCTACATAGCACTGAAAAGATAACGTTTACGTTTCTGGAATGAGCTACAATTAAGTTAAACATTTTAACATCCATTGATTCGCATGCAAGTCATTAAAAATTGATTTAGATTTGAAATTAAGCAAATGTTGCAGCCCCGTAGGTACGGGGGGGCAAGAGGGGGCTGAGCCCCCCCTAGCAGTTGTGGTTGCCCCCCCTGGAAGACTCATACATTATAAATTTCAAATTAGTAATAAAATTTCAATATAATGCCGATTGCCGAAGCATATTAACTGGCCCCACCCACCTTTATTTTCTTACATGGTATATTATTTGGCAGTATCACACTACCGTTGATCTGGACCGTATAAAAAAATGAACATGTCACATTTTATTCCATAGCCTACTATGTACTTGAGAAAAGTCAAAAATATTATATGGATTTTCTAAAAATTGAGCTTTTATTGAAATGGACAAAAAATCGACAAAAAATTCTGAGATGTAGATCTCGATGAGCTTAATCAAAAAACATTAGGTCTTGATGGTCCCAGACCAAGATTTTTCAAAAATTCGCTTCCAAAGTCGACATTTCAAACTTTCTCAAAAATTACATTTCTTTTGGCGGCTCTGGAAAAATTGTACGAATTTTCGAAAAAATAAAACCAAAAAAAAAACATTTGGAGATCGAAATCAATAAAAAGATCCCTTCTGCTAGTTTTCGAAAATGCGTGGGAAAAGTCAAATTTTTTTTATAGATTTTCAAAAATTGAGCTTTTGTTGAAATTGGCTGAAAATCTACAAAAAATTCTGAGATGTAGATCTCGACGAGTTTAGTCAAAAAACATAAGGTCTTGCTCCTATTCGGTTTCCAAGTCGACTTTTTAAAATTTCTCAAAAATTATACTCCTATTTCTTTTGACGATTCTAGAAAAATTTTACAAATTTTCGATCAAATAAAACCAAAAACAACATCTGAAGATTGAAATAAATAAAAGAATGACTTTTGGTAATTTTTGGAAATGCTTAAGAAAAGTCAAAATTTATTTACTTAGTTTTCAAAAATTGAGCTTTTGTTAGAGTTGACAAAAAATTCTGAAATATAGATCTCGATGAGCTTAATCGAAAAACATGTTCATGCTCCCGGAGCAAAATTTACGAAATATTGGGTTTCTACCTAAAATTTCTAAAAAATCTCAAAAGTGATGACTTAAAAAAAAGTTATTTCTTTATGCGATTGTGGAAAAATTCGACGAAATATCAAAAAAATAAAACCAAAAATAACATCTGTAGATCGAAATCAATAAAGAGATCCCTTTTGCTAATTTTAGAAGATGCTTGGGAAAAGTCAAAAAATGTATATGGATTTTCAAAAATTGAGCTTTTGTTGAAATTAACAAAAAATCAACAAAAAATTCCGAGATGTAGATCTCGATGAGCTTAATCCAAAAACATAAGGTCTTGATGGTCCCAGACCAAGATTTTCGAAAAATTCGGTTTCAAAGTCGACATTTCAAAATTTCTCAAAAATTACATTTCTTTTGGCGGCTCTGGAAAAAGTGTACAAATTTCGAGAAAATAAAACCAAAAACAACATCTGGAGATCGAAATCGATAAAGAGATCCCTTTTGCTAATTTTCGAAAACGGTTGGGAAAAGTCAAAAACATTTTATAGATTTTCAAAAATTTAGCTTTTGTTGAAGTTGACTAAAAATCCACAAAAAAATCTGAAATGTTGATCTCGACGAGCTCAATCAAAAAACACAAGGTCTAGATGGTCCCAGATCAAGATTTTCGAAACATTCGGTTTCAAAGTTCAAAAATTACATTTCGTTTGGCGATTGCTGAAAAATTTTACGACTTTTCAACCAAATAAAACCAAAAACAACATCTGGAGACCGAAATCAATAAAGGAATCCCTTTTGGTAATCTCGAACGTGCTTGAAAAAAAGTCAAAAATTTGATACAGGTTCTCAAAAATTGCCATATTTCTCCCGTCGATTCTGAAAAAATTGTAAGAATTTTCAAAAAAATTGAATCCAAAACGATTTTTGGAAATCGAGATGAACAGAGCAGTCTCTTTTGATAATTTTTGAAAATGCTTGGAAAAAGTCAAAAATTTTATATGGGTTTTCAAAAATCGAACTTTTGTAAAAGTTGACAAAAAATTCTGAAATACAGAGTTGGACGAGCTTAAAAAAACATGACAGGTTCATGGTTCCGGATCAAAATTTTCGAAATACTCGGTTTCGAGCTCGAATTTTCAAAATTTCTCAAAAATTACCATATTTCTTTTGGCGATTGTGGAAAAATTGTACGAATTTTCGAAGAAATAACCAAAAACAACATCTGGAGATCGAAATCAATAAAGGAATCCCGTTTGGTAATCTCGAACGTGCTTGAAAAAAAGTCAAAAATTTGATACAGGTTCTCAAAAATTGCCATATTTCTCCCGTCGATTCTGGAAAAAATGTAAGAATTTTCAAAAAAATTGAATCCAAAACGATTTTTGGAAATCGAGATGAACAAAGGAGTCTCTTTTGATAATTTTTGAAAATGCTTGGGAAAAATCAAAAATTTTATATGGGTTTTCAAAAATCGAACTTTCGTAAAAGTTGACAAAAAATTCTGAAATACAGATTTGGACGAGCTTAAAAAAACATGACAGGTTCATGGTTCCGGATCAAAATTTTCGAAATACTCGGTTTCGAGCTCGAATTTTCAAAATTTCTCAAAAATTACCATATTTCTTTTGGCGATTGTGGAAAAATTGTACGCATTTTCGAAAAAACAACCAAAAACAACATCTGGAGATCGAAATCAATAAAGGAATCCCGTTTGGTAATCTCGAACGTGCTTGAAAAAAAGTCAAAAATTTGACACAGGTTCTCAAAAATTGCCATATTTCTCCCGTCGATTCTGGAAAAATTGTAAGAATTTTCAAAAAAATTGAATCCAAAACGATTTCTGGAAATCGAGATGAACAAAGGAGTCTCTTTTGATAATTTTTGAAAATGCTTGGAAAAAGTCAAAAATTTTATATGGGTTTTCAAAAATCGAACTTTCGTAAAAGTTGACAAAAAATTCTGAAATACAGATTTGGACGAGCTTAAAAAAACATGACAGGTTCATGGTTCCGGATCAAAATTTTCGAAATACTCGGTTTCGAGCTGGAATTTTCAAAATTTCTCAAAAATTACCATATTTCTTTTGGCGATTGTGGAAAAATTGTACGAATTTTCGAAAAAATAACCAAAAACAACATCTGGAGATCGGAATCAATAAAGGAATCCCGTTTGGTAATCTCGAACGTGCTTGAAAAAAAGTCAAAAATTTGATACAGGTTCTCAAAAATTGCCATATTTCTCCCGTCGATTCTGGAAAAATTGTAAGAATTTTCAAAAAAATTGAATCCAAAACGATTTTTGGAAATCGAGATGAACAAAGGAATCTCTTTTGGTAATTTTCGAAAATGCTTGGGAAAAGCCAAAAATTTTATATGGGTTTTCAAAAATTGAACTTTCGTAAAAGTTGACAAAAAATTCTGAAATATAGATTTGGACGAGCTTAAAAAAACATGACAGGTTCATGGTTCCGGATCAAAATTTTCGAAATACTCGGTTTCGAGCTCGAATTTTCAAAATTTGTCAAAAATTACCATATTTCTTTTGGCGATTGTGGAAAAATTGTACGCATTTTCGAAAAAACAACCAAAAACAACATCTGGAGATCGAAATCAATAAAGGAATCCCGTTTGGTAATCTGGAACGTGCTTGAAAAAAAGTCAAAAATTTGACACAGGTTCTCAAAAATTGCCATATTTCTCCCGTCGATTCTGAAAAAATTGTAAGAATTTTCAAAAAAATTGAATCCAAAACGATTTCTGGAAATCGAGATGAACAAAGGAATCTCTTTTGGTAATTTTCGAAAATGCTTGGGAAAAGCCAAAAATTTTATATGGGTTTTCAAAAATCGAACTTTCGTAAAAGTTGACAAAAATTTCTGAAATATAGATTTCGACGAGCTTAAAAAAACATGACAGGTTCAAGGTTCCGGATCAAAATTTTCGAAATACTCGGTTTCGAGCTGGAATTTTCAAAATTTCTCAAAAATTACCATATTTCTTTTGGCGATTGTGGAAAAATTGTACGAATTTTCGAAAAAATAACCAAAAACAACATCTGGAGATCGACATCAATAAAGGAATCCCTTTTGGTAATCTCGAACGTGCTTGAAAAAAAGTCAAAAATTTGATACAGGTTCTCAAAAATTGCCATATTTCTCCCGTCGATTCTGGAAAAAATGTAAGAATTTTCAAAAAAATTGAATCCAAAACGATTTCTGGAAATCGAGATGAACAAAGGAATCTCTTTTGGTAATTTTCGAAAATGCTTGGGAAAAGTCAAAAATTTTATATGGGTTTCCAAAAATTGAGCTTTTGTTAAATTTGACAAAAAATTCTGAAATACACATCTCGACGAGTTTAAAAAAACATGACGAGTTCATGGTTCCGTACCAAAATTTTCGAAATATTTGGTTTCGAAGTCGGATTTTTAAAATATGTACTAAACATGCAAAAAAATAAACTCAAACAAATTGGATGTTACCTATATGGCCACTACACAAATTTTTGGATGCAGTACAGCTGTTTGTGAATCTACATTCTCTGTTTTAACCAGCATTTTAACCAAGTACCGTACTAATTTTTTGGACAGGTTTTTACGAAAATTTAGCGTAAAAAATCGACGTTTCCAATTATTTTAATGTTCTTTCAAATATAAAAACTCAGAAAAAATAAAGCAGTTATCTGAGTGTATTATTAAAATATAAATATTTACATGAAGCCCCCTCTGTCGACAAACTTGCCCCCCCCTGAATAAGTTTTCTAGCTACGGGGCTGAAATGTTGCAGTGTTAGTCAATGTGCACTTGACAATGTATCCATTAATAAATAGGAAGGACGTAGTTTTAGGTGACACTTTGTTTATTGTAATGATATGTTTTTTTGCAAATACTTAATTCTTTTACTGCAAGGTCACATCTGTCTTATATTGTTGAATGACACGTGCTAATGATACAATGTGACACAACATGCAAGATGAATATACAAAAGAAAGATGTTAAATAGGTTCCAACAACATTTAACTCACCTGGACTGTGTTTAGTTATAATGCAATTGTTTCCAAGAAGGAGAACGTCTTTTAGATGCATAGACCGTCGAGCAAGACCCAACAAAAGATGTTCGCCAGCATGGGCTCTTAGAAGTGCTACCTATAATTAGAATCATAACACAAATCGTTAATAAATTTAGTTTTAAATTCTATGTATATTTTATTAATCCTCAAAGCAAGTAATTGCGTCAGAACGAGCAATAAATATTATCTTAACTTATTGTGCGATTCGTGTATCAGTAAGTTAATAATATGATCATGTGTTTACTTTAGGGGGAAAGAAATCGATTATGATCGCGGATATGAAAGAAATTAAGCAAACCTGGTCGTCTAATTGAAGTTCTGTGAAGGCTGGAATGTACTTGGCCCATTCAACTAGAATTAAAAGTTGTTGTTTCATCGAATCACATACATCATTTATGCTTGCTAACTGTCTGTTAGACAAATCGTAATCGTTAACGGGAGCTGGCCCCATTTGCTGTAACAAATTCATTTGAACTTAGATTAAACGCAACTAGGGTGAGTAACTCACTTCTAGTGCTGCTCCGACTTGGCGTGATAACATTTCTGCATTTAACAAGGAACTGACTGAAAGACCGTTGTTTTGATTGCTTTCTTCATAACTCGGTCGTCTACAACTTATTCTATCTCTTTCGTTTTGTACAGCTGCAATTTTTTTTATTAGCGCGAAATCTTTACACCATTTTTACTAGTTACCTTCTTTTTTCATACCTGCTTTGAAACATTTTCGCAAACGACAATACCTGCACTGATTCCGCTTGTCTTTGTCCACTATACAATTTCTACTGAACCTGGAACCAATTAATAATAATAAAATTTGTCCACTTATCTTATGTTTCAAATTTTTTTTTTTTAATTATAGCGTGATTTACTTAAATTGTACTAGTAGTATGTACAATAGTTAATAATGTTATTTTTCCTTGTCTGACACACTTATTCGTGTATATATACATATGTGGAATCTACCACACCTTGAAAAGTAATTACATACCTAGCAACCTTAATATTTTTACATTAACAGCGTCATCTAGTGACATGCAAAAAGTCTATAGCTGGTTTTATTGGCTTTAAATATATAAATAATAAATAATTAAATAATTGGAGCTTGTTATTACTATAATTAGTAACGAGCAAAATCATCAGCATATAGGAGCACTGTGGTTAATTTACCTTACTTTCCCCTAGGTGTTTACTAGTGGAAATATACTTAAAACGCCAACAAGCAGTAGTTATTTTGGGAAACCCGCGTTTTTTTCATTTGTAAAATTTGAGCAGAAACTGTCTAAATTAGCATTATTCACCTGACCTTCCAATTATATTCTGGGTCTACCTTGAAACGTTGAATTTTAAAAAGAGAAAAACATTTACACAAGACAGGTTATTTTTAGGTGTCAAATATACATACATACTTCTGTTAGAAAATTAATGTTGGTAAAAACGTACAAACAAAGAAGTACATGTAATAAAAAAAGCCATTATTCATTCGATCATTAACGGCAACATCATCGTAAACACTTCTTATCAAATACATGAAATTATCATCATAATTATTATTACCGACGCAAGGTAACGTTGATCTATTACGCTATAATTATTTCCCAGCAAAAATTTGCCTAGTTACATTGACGCAAGGTCGCTAATAAAAACCCGTCAATTTTGCTTCGACATGATGACTTTTAGAAATATTATTACATAAAAGATTCACCGGTAATTGACGAATTTATTACCTGCACGTATATAAGTGATTTTTTCTAACAGATCTTCGAAAAAAGCCTTTGCAGCCGTCGCAAGACGCCGCTCCGTAGTGCTTTCCTGTCGCCCTATCACCGCAAATAGCGCAATGTTGGCTCATGGCAACGACTCCTGCAGATCCAGAATTATTCAATGTTGCTGATAGCGAGTTGTTATTGCTCGCTGCCATGGTCATTTCGGAATCTACTGAAACAAAATTAAGACATTTTTAGTTTTCGTTGACAACACAATCTACAATAATTAGCATAAAAAACGCATATGTATAATATAAGCAGATGAGTTAGCACTACCTACTGGTGTAAACCTTAAAAGGATACCAATGCAATTTCTTTGCAGAAATAAGCAGGTTATAACCGATTTCAAGTGTAGTTTTAAAAGTAATTATTATGTATTTACAAAATCATAAATATTTTTATTATTTTCAGATCTAAACTCAACTTTTATTAAAAACAATCACCTGTTCACCGAAACCCCCATATTTTAAATAGCTCTCATTATTTTAGTTCTCGACGTTTGAATCAGCAAGATTTACTGATAAAAAAATTGGTCTAAAGAGTTTAGACAGTACTTCCCTCGCTGTCGGAAACTTGACGACTGCATGCCTATTGTGTTTTTTCTCATTACATTTTTGTAGTGGGAATTTAAAAAAAAAATGCGATGACGTCATCAACATTTTTGCAAGGACACGTATATCAGTTTGGGATAGATGTAGTGTAATACTAAGAATAAAATTATTATATTCTCAAATTTTCAGGAAAATGAATTGGGTCGTTTTGAATATTGATTTGTAATAATCAATAAAATAACGAAACAATTTACTCACGTATACGTATCCCAGGCAGCTGAAAATCGTGTATGTATAAACATTCTTAATTTAAGATGACAGGCGTAACAGCATACTTGAGAGTCAAACAGAGAAACTGTAAACAAAACGACCATCGGTTTTATTGCTTCGACTTCCGCTTATTATATAAAACATTGGGTTTTATTTTAATTCTTGACGGTGAAATTCACAATTGGTTGATTATAAACATGTCTATTTCACATTCGCGGAACCAAGTGAACGCATAAAACAAATGCAGGTCTGTAATGTTAAAGTCGATGTAAATAAGCATGCTACCCTTATGTTTCAACCGAGTTTTTCCTTTAACAAATTTTTTGTCTACCAAATTGGGTTGGTTGGGGTGTAATACTAATAATAAGTGTTGCCTTTAATTTAATCAATAAAATAAATTGACTTCATTAATTTTTTTGAACCACCTCTTAAGAAAATCTAAAAAATATGAATGGAATGATAAATCACAAGTACAAACTCATCATATTTTTTGCATTTTAGATAGGATTTATTCAGCAAAATTTAAGGGTGACGTCATCAATTTTTTTAGGAGGGATGAACAAATACATTTTGAACAAAAGTTTACCATGCTTATAATAACTTTAGAATATTCCCAAGATTTCAAAGCATTCGGTTTTGTAATTCCTGATTAAATCGATAAAATAAATTCACGCCTTCATTAATTTTTTTGAGTCACCCTGCATATGCAAATCCAAAAATATGAATGGAATGATAAATCACAAGTACAGACTCATCATATTTTGTACATTTTAGATACGATTTATTCGGCAAACTTTTGAGCTGACGTCATCAGTTTTTTGTAGAAGATAACCAAATATATTTTGACTAAAAATTTATTATGCTCTTTATAACCTTAAAACATCTGCAAGATTTCAAAGCATTCGGTTTTGTAGTTCCTGATTAAATCAATAAAATATATTTACGCATTCATTAATTTTTTTGAGTCACCCTGTATATGCAAATCCAAAAAATATGAATGGAGTGATAGGTCACAAGTACAGACTCATCATATTTTGTACATTTTAGATATGATTTATTCCACAAACTTTTGAGCTGACGTCATCAAGTTTTTGGAGGGGATAAGCAAATATTTTTTGACTAAAGATTTATGATGCTCTTTATAGCCTTAAAACATCTGCAACATTTCAAAGCATTCTGGTTAGCAGATTAAAAATTAAATTTCAAAATGTTGTTTTATAATTTTGATTTTTTTTCCAAAAATCTGGACGTTTCGGGTGAAAAGTCGATTCAGAGTTGTAAACTACATGTGTAGGACTATGTTATTTTATACAATTGAAAACCCATTTACTATGTACAATTTTGAAGTGACGTCATCGCTTTAGTGGTGGGGATGATTCGACAAATTTTGGTTAGCGTTTTACCATCTACATGATATTCTTAATATAAGTACAAAATTTCACAACAATCGGTCAAGTACTTTCGGAGATTATCTGTCTAATAAAAATCCGGGACAACAGACGGACAGACGGACAGACGGACAGACGGACGGACAGACGGACAGACGGACGGACAGACGGACAGACGGACAGACAGACGGAAATGGGAGACCTATTTCTTCGTCTTCTACGGGTCATGAAAGATCGAGAAAACGTAAAAGTAGAGAGTCGGCCGACGGACTCGATTACAATACTTCCTTTGCTTACGCTCGGGAAGTAAAAATTAAATTTATAAAAGTATAAGCCCCGCCCACCCGCCCTATCTCCATTTTGATGATTTTTTTTATTCGTCGAGAGACAAAGGAGCGGAATTTAAATGCAAAATCCTTATTATTTCTCTACAAGAAATTACAATTCTTCGAGTATCATGTTACTCAAAGAATACTACTATGAAGAAAAAATGAAATTAATAAATTCTAGAAATTGCACAAGTTTTAGAGTCCAGCGATTTCAGCCATTCTAGAGATTCTAAAGTTTATATAGATTTTAGAGTTTTTAGAGATTCTCTAGGACCTGGAGACTCTGGAGATACTAAAGATTGTGGGCATTCCAAAGATTCCAAAAGTTCTAGGGATTCTAAGTATCCTAAAAACTCTAAAAATTTCTGAAGATACAAGAAATTCCATTGGATTTACAGATTCAGAGATATTACACAGATTCCAAAGATTCTAGAAATTCAAAAAATTATACAGAGTCTAGAAATTCTGGAAAAACTAAACATTGTAGACACTCTAAAAATGGTAAACATTCTAAAAATCCCAAAGATTTCAAAAGTTTTAGATTCTAAGTATCCTAGAGACCCTAAAAATTCGTTACACTCTGAAGATTTTAGAGATTCAAAAGATTCTAGTAATTAAAAAATTTATACAGAATCTAGAAATTCCAGAAATTGTACAAGTTTTGGAAACTAGCCATTCTAGAAATTTTACAGGTTCGAAAAATTCGAAGAATTCTATAGATTCTAGAGTTTTTAGAGATTCTAAGGTTCTAAAAATTCTTTAGATTCTGAAGCTTTTAGAAATTCTAAAGATTCCAGACGTTCTAAACATACTAGAAATTCCATAGGATTTACAGATTCAGGGTTTTCAAAGATTCTATAAATTCAAAAAATTATACAGAATCTAGAAATTCTAGAAATTGTACACAATGTAGAACCTAGCCATTGCAGCCATTCTAGAGATTCTGGGAATTCTGGAAATACAAAAAATTGTAGACACTCTAAAAATTGTAAAAATTCTAAAAATCCCAAAGATTTCGAAAGTTTTAGATTCTAAGTATCCTAGAGACCCTAAAAATTCGTTACATTCTGAAAATTTTTGATATTCCAAAGTTTCCAGACTCTCTAAAGATTCTAGAGATTCTAGAGATTCAAAAGATACTAGTAATTAAAAAAAATATGTAGAATCTAGAAATTCCAGAAATTGTACAAGTTTTACAGTCTAGCCATTCTAGAAATTTTACAGGTTCGAAAAATTCGAAGGATTCTATAGATTCTAGAGTTTTTAGAGATTCTGGAGATACCAAAGATTGTGGATACTCTAAAAATTGTAAAAATTTAAAAAATTCCAAAGATTCCAATAGTTCTAGGAATTCTAAGTATTTTAGAGACCCTAAAAATTCTTTAGATTCTGAAGATTTTAGAGATTCTAAAGATTCCAGACGTTCTAAAGATATTAGAAATTCCATAGGATTTACAGATTCAGGGTTTCCAGAGATTCCAAAAATTCTAGAAATTCAAAAAATTATACAGAATCTAGAAATTCTAGAAATTGTACAAGATGTAGAGCCTAGCGATTGCAGCCATCCTAGAGATTCTACAAATTCTGGAAATACTAAAATTTGTAGACACTCTAAAAATTGTCAAAATTCTAAAAATCCTTGAAGATTTCAAAAGTTTTAGATTCTAAGTATCCTAGAGACCCTAAAAATTCGTTACATTCTGAAGATTTTAGAGTTTCTAGAGATTCAAAAGATTCCAGTAAATAAAAAAATTATGCAAAATCTAGAAATTCCAGAAATTGTACAAGTTTTACAGTCTAGCCATTCTAGAAATTTTACAGGTTCGAAAAATTCGAAAGATTCTAGAGTTTTTAGAAATTCTCGAATATCTAGAGATTCTGGAGATACTAAAGATTGTGAACACTCTAAAAATTGTACAAAATTTTAAAAATTTCAAAGATTCCAAAAATTCTAGGAATTCTAAGTATGCTAGAAAGGATACTAGAAGTTCCAGAGGATTTACAGATTCAGGGTTTCCAGAGGTTCCAAAGATTCTAAAAATTAAAAAAAATATACAGAATCTAGAAATTCTAGAAATTGTACAATATGTAGAGACTCGCGATTACAGCTATTCTAGAGATTCTGGAAATTCTAGAAATACTAAAAATTGTAAAAATTCTAAAAATCCCAAAGATTTCAAAGGTTTTAGATTCCAAGTATCCTAGAGGCCATAAAAATTCGTTACATTGTGAAGATTTTAGAGATTCCAAAGTTTCCAGACTCTCTAAAGATTCTAGAGATTCAAAAGATTCTAGTAATTAAAAAAATTATGCAAATATAGAAAATTCCACAAATTGTACAAGTTTTAGAGTCTACCCATTCTAGAAATTCTACAGATTTTTAGAGATTCTACAGGTTCAAAAAATTCGAAGGATTCTATAGAATCTAGAGTTTTTAGAGACTCTAGAGGTTCTGGAGAAACCAAAGATTGTGGACATTCTAAAATTGTAAAAATTCTAAAAATTCCAAAGATATAAAAGTTTTAGACTACAGTGGTTTCAGCAGTTGTAGAGATTTTGAAGATTCTAGGGATTCTAAATATCCTAGAGGCTCTAAAAATTCCAAAGATTCTGAAAATTATTCTTAAGTTTCCA